GTCTTTTTAGGGTTGATCAAAAGTTGATTTTTACAGCACCAGGTAGCCACACCGGAACTTTCCACCAAAAGCGCAATGATAAGAGAAAATTTCTTGAATATAGTGACATCATTCAAATTTCCAGGCTCTTATGAGAATCTGATAGGTCTTGGAATTGAAAATGACAGCTAGAGCAGTAATAAAACAAAATTTAAAGGACCTAAGAAACTAAGCAGCCGGTCATTTAACCAGCGCATTGACCGACTAGCTCAGTCACATTACTATTATTATTTTTTGTATTATCTTCTTCTTTAAAGTTCAAGTAGTAAACGTAAACGAAGTGTGTATCCGTTAGTTTTTCTTAGATTTTTATCAGACATTCTAATGTATTTTTTGATTTTTTAAGGATTCATCATAATTTTTGTAAATATTTTTAGTGATTATGGTAAATAAAGGATTTTTATTTAAAATAATTATTACCATAAGTATTATTTATTATTATTAGTTGCCTTAACAGACGTTTTCGTTGACGACGGCGACGTGACGACCGATAAGAAACTGGGGATAGAACGGCTTCCGGTTGCGGTCGCGACTGCGAGTAGCCATCCTCAAGCAAAGCGCGCGAAAAACACGACGCTGCCCTGAGCGAGCTTCGTAAATTTGGTGGTAAATTCAAACTTCACAATAAAGCTCTCGATTCCTTGGCATTTTCCGGTCACGTCGAGCTTAAAGGAAACGGAAGATTTACTTTTGGTTTCCTTTATTGAAAGAGTCACAAAGACAGTTCTCTAAGATACCGTGAATCCCGGATATGTGTTCAGATTTTGCGCTATTTGGCTCCTTGCCGAACCACGCTCTTTGGAGCTAGCCTTGAATTTAAAGGGTTCCCATAATAAGATTTCTCTGACCAACATGACATCTTTTTGTTCTGTTCACTCCATCTACTAGTTAAACTATATTTGAAAAATAACCCGACGAATTTAAGCCTTATACTATTAAAGCTTTTCTAATAATAGATATCTCTTTTAAAATTATTATTGCGAAAAATTACAAAATATCAAGCTTAGAAGAATAGTTCTGCCTCAGCATATCAAAGACATTTTACATGTTATTTATGTGATGTTAAAGCGGTCGATTGCCATCAATTGTATACTCATTATATTTGCCAGCTATTTTGTTTAGTGTCGGGAAAAAAAAACGTTTTGTGAAGAACGAAATCATTACAAGAAAGGCGTATTTGTCTGCTTGTGCACATGGCGATTAACACACTAAATTCAAAATTAATTTGAGTCGATTAAAAATCTTCTAAGTTAAATGATCGGTTATACATTGAGAAAAATCGGAAAAAACAACTAATTATTGCGCTGAATGAAAGCAACCTCTTCTCTGGAAGCTAATTTAGCATGCAAAAACAATTTTTAAAAAAATGAGCCTAATAATGCTTCTAGAACATTATTTTAAACTTAAAATCAAACATTATGCAATTTTACTAAGCTTCCAAATTGAATTAGTCCGAAAGTAAGCTAAAAGTGATCAAAACAAAAGATTAAGTACTCAAGTGCTCGTCGCGACGTGAAACCCACAGGACAACAGTAAGTCACAACGTGTTGTTCATGCGCAGTGAGGACTGCAAAGAAATTTCACGTTTCCGGTTGCCGTCGTAAGGCCGGCGACGTCTGTTGCTTAAGGTGCCTATTATATGATTATTGTTATTATTGATGCTATTCTGTCATTATCAATACTTTCACTATTTATATTGCTATTACTGCGTAAGGTATAATTTTCTCTATCTTACAGCCGGCGTCGCCAGAAGCTGATTGCGTGTATTTTTCCGAGAATTTTCACTGCCTCCTGCCCCTCCCTCCAAAACAATCCATCGAGACAGACGAAAAATTTGTACAATACAAGAGATGCTGTCAATAAAGCCATAAGTGAATAAACCGACAGCGGGTCTTTTGAGAAAATATTGCAAACCGAACTTAACAAACATTACAAATTTTCCCTTCCACCCATCTTTTTTATCTTATTTCGATAACTTACTTAACTGGTTAGGCACGATCTTTACATGCACAAACGGAAAAAAAAGGTTGAAGGACGATATAAAGTTGATAGAAACCCCCAATACAACGGATGAGAAACACAAACGATGTTTTTGATATAATGCGGTTAGAATGTAGCCGGTGGCTGCTGGCTGAATTTCAGGTTTAAGCGTTCAGAGTGAAGGTTACAAGAATATAAAAATCAACGGGTGTCAGCCTTTGAAAATATCATCGTTCAATTATAAGGTGAAGGCAGCGAATTGTCAGAAATGACAACACATTTGCATGTAAACTCCATGCCATCGATCTTCCCTCATTTGAATATTTTCGCAATCACCAGAAATAAATGTACCAACTAAGTTGTTGCTAAGCCTCTCGTTGCAATCGCAACGAAAGTAAAGACTACTCTCATTCAGGAAACTCAGACTTTACCATCCCAAAGCCAAGAGAGCTTGATGTTAATTTTGGTAAAACAAGCCTCAGTATATCGATAAATAAAATTAGATAGGCATCGGAAAAAGCGAAATCATGCGAATTAGATATTATCCCCATAGCATCCCCAATTACACCGTTATATTTTTAGGTAGCAACTAAATGGCTAAATGCGTAAACTTTGTGTCCGATTTCGTTTTTTAAGTATACTTAAACATAAAACAAAATGACTATCAGTTATATCATATAAATAGACATTGTGCATGTAGTGCGTTGTTTGATCCAAATAAAAATTGATTACACAGATGGTCCCCCCTTGTTCAAAACATGTTTAAGTTAATCTACATGTTATTGGAAAGGTGTCCTTATCGTTAAACCACTATTGGCCATGGATATCTTTATCTTTTCAGTTTTTTGCTCACAAGATCAATTCTTTGTAAATATTCAGCAATGCGCCTAACTTTACTTTTCTCATCGATTTTAACTTGTTCAAGGTATAATATAAATTTAGCCGCAAGGGTAACTTCTCTCTTTTAACTAGCCACTGACTTATTAGTAATTCAGGCGACAAAATTTCTTCCGGTCAATGAACAATTTATTATGATCATAAAGCAATGCATAAGCGATGAGGAGGCTTATATCACCGGTGACAAACTCTTCTTCTCGGAAAAGTCTAACACTTCTGGCCCTCCTTGATCGTCGATACAGGTGGAGTTGTACGTAATTTCGTGTTCTAATTCTAGAGGCACGAAAGGCGGATGAATTTGGAAAGAAAACCACCACAACCAAAATTACAACCACCCACAGACTTTCGTCCATGATGTAACTATGACTGTCGCAGGTATACACACAGAAGCTGTTTTAGACACTTTTTTTTCCCTTATCATATTTCGCAATTTATGTGTTATTTGAATTCGGCTGCATCATTTTCGAATGAGGCAATCCCATTTGACTGTTTACCAGTCCAAGTATTAGAAACAACAGAAACCTTTTACATCCAGTATGCCATTTCCGCATGTGCATTAAACGTGTTTTATTTCCTTTCTTGAAAAGATAGGGCCTCTCGCTTCATCTTCTTCAAAATAAAAATTAAATAAATAAATAAGTTCACGATGATAATAGAAAAATTCCAAATTTGGAACGTTATTAACGTATACCACCCTCAAAATTTGTCGACACCAACGATGCGTGGAGAGCAGATCCACATGAGTTTTGCATCCGCCTTGTATTGTGAGTAAAGAAAATGAAAAGCTGGGTTATTTCCGGTCTGCTGCGAATCATAATGACATCAATATTTCAAACTCTAAAAGAGTCACTTTGTTTTTCAGCAAGTGGCATTTTACAATTGGACGTTTAAAGTAGGTGTAAAGGTTCCTGGCAATTGACATGCAGCTGATATCAAGCTGTATAACATATTCAGCCCGTTTCAACCGTCAATACTCACTTGTCCTTTCAGCCCAACAAAGTGGTAACTGCGTTACCCAACCCCTTTAAAGGAAATAACTATGAAAGAGCAAAGCACTTAATTAACTTGTTTCACATTAAGGATTCTATGCGATTCGATATTTATATTTCATGTCAACTAGTTCCTTCTTTCTTTCCTTTTTTTTAAATTTTTTTTAATCTCAATCTTTGTGAGTGTGTGTGGCACAGGTGCCTGCAGATTATTTTATGTTCGGTAATCAATGGACAAAAATAAAACGCTCGTTGCACCGACAGTGTGTTTGCTTTTGGAGTTGGCGATTTTGGCGTCAAACTGCGTCAAACTGCGGGGTCAGATATCAGCTGATTTTGGGGAAGGTTTTTCCCTTTAGTCCTCAGATAAACTGAGAAGTAGAGCAACTGCGCTTGGAATCATCCCACGGAGTTTTATTAAATATTCAGGGCCAAAATTAATCACTTGTCTTAATGACAGTTTTAATCAACTTCCAATTTTTTTTGAATTGAAGTATTTTATCCGTGAAAAACAAGCTTAAATTTATTTCCATGTAACGATTGATTTATAATGTAGCCTTACAAACGAGTACTATTATTTTTTTATATTTCGAACGCGAGTTGAGATATAGATGACAAATTAATAACTTATTAAAGCCCAAAAATGGTAATGAAACATTCATTCATTCAACTTTGCGAGAAATATGAAACCGCTTGGGAAATAAAAAGAAGTCATTCGAACGGCATCCCGACATTTATGTAGGGCTTTAATAACAACTGAAAACAGCTATTTTCTTTGTAATCCTAATCTCTCAAAAAAATACGGCTATTGTCGGAGTTTATTTAGACGTGTTGGAGGTATTTTAAATTGATATCGCGATAAACTTTACACTCGTGAGTCTAGGCGATGACAAGAAACCTTAAGCTAATCTGAATTTACATCCTTTCCAGCTGTTTGAAGTTGAGTATATTTTTATCACCACTAAATATAGTTGACGTCTACGTAGTTAACGTCTTATCTTTGGTAAAGCGGTAAAATAGTTAATTTACTTTATTTGTTATTTAGTGCTTCAAAGAATATAAAAAGGGTCATTCGACTCCTTATTCCACACATCGCCTCGACTCAGGGAAGGGTCCTCCAGCAATTTGACGGTAGACTTAAACCAGTATCAAACAAGAAGTCTGATAAAAAATGCACGGCAACGTTTACAAGGTAAAACAAGCATAATTATCTTTGTCTCCTTCATGAACGTAACTTAGGCATAACACTACATTGACTGATTTACGAACCTAAGCCTTTCCTTTTTCGTTCCTTCGGGTATGATTTGTGTCATTGCTTTCTTTCTGGCTTATCTACAGGTTGTATTCGTTATTTTCTTGGTGGCTGTACCCTTGTCGCACTGTAACACATTACGAAACGCATTCACGGAAGAGGATTTAACTCCCATGATAGAAAATCTCAAATGGGAAGACAAAGAGGAGCAAACAGCCATGGCAGATTACTTCCACCAAAAGAGTTCCGATGTACAGAAACGCAACAATGCACTCTCATGCGAATGCAAAAAACGTATTCACGAGACACTGAAACATGATAATCATTGTTCAAAAAGCTGTATTCCTATATACAACAGAGATTGTGGTCATTTCATTTGCAAAGGTTTTTGACCATTAAAGCAAGAACTGAAGCACGTGTAACCTTCGAATGAATCAAGCAGAAATAATAATTAAAGATAATGAATGAAATCTAACATTGTTTCATTGACTTGCCTTACGTTAACTGAGAAACAGCTTCGGAGAGGCATAATGTACAAACATGTGTAGAAGAAAGTCTCGAAGGGGTGGGATAGTTTTGACGATTTTAACGGTGGATGATTGTCATGAATAAATTGACTTCACGAAACAGAATCAATATTAAGTACTATTAAGGTACTGTATTCATTTTTTATATATATACGGATCATACGTTATATTCAGAACTACTAAGTCTTTGTCTTAAAAATTAAACTAAAGCGTAACTCTATGACATTTAGCCGCTTAACATTTGAATCTTAATTAATTAAATTTAATTAAATGTAAACCTAGATTAAATAACTTATATTTTTCTAAACTCATTGCATACAGTCCTCCAAGTAAGTATTTTATGACTTGAATTGGGAGGAAAGTTCTGTTCCTCTCTCCTGCCAGTCCACTTTATTTTTTCTTTTCTAGTAACTGCAAAATGTAGATTAGTAGTTTGTATTTGTTGAACTGTGGCGAATAAATTGAAAAAATTAATAAAATTAATAAAATTAAGTAAATGACATAATAAAATAAAAATGACCTCTAACCGTACTTCATTGCTAGTTTCATAATTATACCTTAATTAATTCCCGATTGTATAGGCCCGAACAACTTTAGCAACTTTGCATTCCTGAGTCCTTATTCTTCTAGCCCTGAAGATAGTAAAGGAAAGTTGCTAGTCTGTTCATACAAGAACCTAATACTAATAAGAGCCTAGCAAAGCTCATCAAAACCATAATCTGATGTTTCACCCCTCTCTGCCTCTTTTCGTCCTTCGTTTCCCCTCCTTCGAATGTCAGAGCTGTTTAATTGAATCATTGGCATGCAAAAATTCTCGTACGCTGCGCATGCTGGCGAGATGGAATGAACATTAGCATCAGGACCCTCCTAATACCGCACCGCACTGCGTAAAACTACACCTACAACATCTACTACACCAGACTGCACCTATTACCCCTTCTGAACCAAACTACACCAAACTATGCTACTGCACCAAACTATACCTACTACACGAGACTACAAAGAATAAGCGTTAGTTTTTTCGTAGATAATGTACGTAGAACCGTGGTCTATATACGTGATGACTCAACGCATGCGCATAACTAGCTCAGTTACTCAGCCAAGATGACGTCTGCGACAGCAAGTGCAAACAGTGGTTATAATGTGTGTAATAATTTGGGACCTTTAGATACAAGGGTGGAGAGCAAGGACGGGGCATGGCTCAAAATCAGCCTCCCCTGCATTATCCAGCAATTCTAAATCCCTGCCCGATTTACCAGAACCCTGTCCTCGGTGCTGGCAATCACCTTCGGTTTGAACCAGACGGGGACAGCGCCAGTCCAACTCCAGTGAATTCTCGAACCGAAGTGACGATTGTAACAAGCGCAGTAGCTGGTCGTCGACCGAAGAGAGATGCTCAACTTGACTTAAGTCCACAAACAGCAGTCAAGGCAAGAAAAACACATGGGAAGATATTTTGAAGCAATTTCAAAGTATGTAGAGTTCTAGTCTACCAGTCTAGGAACGAGATCGAGCACTAGATCATTCTATTGTTTCTTAGGTAGGACTCCATACGTTTGAATAAAGGGGGTAGCGCTGCGTCGGTGGGAGAGTAAAGCAGGTAATTTAGTGTTAATCTCTGAGTTGAAAACGTAAATTTGCCACCGTAAAGAGTTGAAAGGCTGACGTTTCGAGCGTTAGCCCTTCGTCTGACGAAGGACGACCTATGGCCACCTGGAAATTACGATTCGATTCAAACTTCAGATCCCACGGAACGAATAATTGTGAATCCGACCTGACGTAAACGTAAAATACTTCTCAAAATTATGAGCCAAAGTTGAACATCGACAACCAGGAGGTACATATAAGAAGCTTGAGCGATACTTTAGAACCAAATTTGATTCTAAATAAACTATTCAGAAGAGAGGTTTGCTTGATTACTAGAGTGCGTTCGTTTTCTTCACCGGACACTGCTCCGCATCGCAGATGACCGCGACTGCAAAACAACAACTTAGTACACATGTTTTCGAGACGAAGGCAAAGCAAGCTGAATGGTGTCGTCGACGAAATCAGGACTGGGAAAACACGAATCTAGGCTTCATTTGCGCATGACATGTTTTGCAAATTTATTTCCGATAGCTGTCCTAGCTCATCCCGTCTTCGGATCTTAAGTTCTCAATTTATAACGAATCTTGCATTGGTAAATATTCTTGTTACAATTACGCTAAATGTGTTTGCCTTTTACTTGGTTTTTTGTATACGTTGTAATTATGGAGGTGTTTTTACCAAATTTAAAGTAAAAGCGACTAGATCCATATTATCTACATTTTTGCAAAAATGACCATCATCCATTAAAACCAACATTACTGGCATAATGCGAGCGCTGCTAGCATATCGTACTACTTTTGCGAACACAATCGAACAATTCCCTGAAACATGGACGGCACAGAAAAAATAGCTAGTCTGTCCTTTAAGAAGATCAAACCTCAGGGAATGAAAAGTAGACGAATGTTAGAAGAATTCCCAAGGAAATTTGTTTTTGGCTAAAACAAAAGGAAAAATCACTAAAAATCCACAGACTTCTCGTTCGCGGTGTTGCTGTAATTGTCTCAGGTCTACACGCGAGAGCTGCGTTTTTCACAGTTTCGGTTCCGTAATTATATTGCACAATTAATGTGTTATGCTAATTCGGATGAATCATTTCCGAATAAGACAGTCGTATTTGACATATTAGCATTCCAAGCTGATACAAATAAACAGAAAGTATCTCCATGCAGATTTACAACCTCCGCATGTGCATTAAACATGTATTTCATGGTTGCTGTAACACAAAACATGGGGTCACCCGTTTTTCTTCCTCGAAATAATATTGATACTGATAACAATGAAAAGATAACACCATGATGCGCGGTAAGTATACGGACATAATGCTGCCCTGTGTTGAGAGTAAGAGAAATTTAAAGCTGAATTATTTCCGCCCTGCCACGGTTCAGAATGACATTCACATTTAAACACTAAAAAATAGCCAGTTAGCCCTCAAGCAAGTAGTATCATGGAGCTAAGTGTGTCTAATGGGTGTAAAGGCTCCTCCATATTTACATAAAGGTGATTACGAGCTTTATAACAGATTCAGCCGATTTCAACCGTGATCACCCACTTGTTCCTCCAGCCGAGGAATACTATCTACAATGACAGTATTTTAGCATTAAGAGTCGACCAATTGCTTAAGGTTGTAGTGACTCACAGCTGCTTTTTGGGAATTTTTTTTTCCCTTCAGTACTAGTCCTTTGGTGAATTGAAATTTAGACCAACTACGCTTGGAATCATTTCACGGAATCATCTCATTTTTCACTCAAAGATTCATTGAATAACCAAGGCCAAAATTAATCACCTATATCTTGATGATGATGACAGTAGATTGAAGCATTTTATCCATGAATAAAAGAGTAAAAGTTTAGTATTGTGACCAGGCAATAAACTCTGAGCCGCTTGGAAATTACGTTGTTCAATATATATACATATATATATATATATATATATATATATATGTACTCATCTCATTTTGAAAAAGACTGCCCTTGTGTGAAAAAGCTACAGGGCGAAGCTGGTCGAATAATGTTCCCTGAAATTATTGCAGAATTACTACTGATACGAGACATTAACATTCATGTGAAAATAGTAGATTAGATTGAGGTAAACATGTTATTTGATCGGGTCGTTACCTTTCACGAAGTGTCTTTTAAACTTCTCACCGGAAACGGATAGAAATAAATGACGAAACAAAATAGGAGTACGTGCAACACATAACAGATGCGAGAATAGAGATGACATGTCTGTCGAAAATTAGATTTGTAACACAGTAATACAGAAATAGATAAGTCAATGATGTCTCTCTTGAAAGTTTGAATTTTGTCCCGCAGTCCCTTACGTATTACAACATGGCCCCCACGAGAAAGCTTACAAGGCAAGTATCGTCGTTTGCTTTTTCTGTTTATGATTTATTGCTTGTTTCATTTTATTTGTTAACTTTGTTCTTTAAGCAGTCAACCAATTTTTTCTCCCACGCTTCTTTTTCGACTGATTTCGAATAGTCTATGTAACTCCTCTCTTGCAGTTCCATGGGAAGTTTCCTTTTATCAACTTTATCAAGTTTGATGACAACTAGACTGTCATCCCTCTTTTCCATAAGTCGATGAAGGGCGAAATCCAGTTCTGATCCACAATAATTACTATCGAAAAAGTGAGTAGAGACAATAGCAAGGGTTTTTCTACACTTGTAAACACTGTCCACCACATTGTCCCTAAAAAGGACTCCTGGTGTGAAATTTCTGTAATGTATGCAGCACTTCAAGCCATGCTTTTTCTCCAGAGTTGGGATGAGAGTGTTTACCACCCAATCCGAGTCTTGTGAGCTGAATATAACGAATGCATCGTACTCAAATTTTAAATCTGAAAAATCAAAGAAGTACGTATTGTTAATCACAGATGATGTGAGTCTGAGTATAGCAGTTTTCTAATCTTACAAGAGCGATATATCCTAATTTCATGAAGGAGATGTGTCTCCTGAATGCCACCAATAATAGATCACAGACGACGTCAAAATGTAGCTAGAACTTATTAAAATGGTAAGCGAGCATAACGAGGTGCATCCGACTGTTGGATTGAATTCAGGTGAATTTTGAGGGGAAAAAACTAACCCTGCACCGATGGTGTAAGATCGGTTTTCGATCGTCGGCAATAACGCAGTGTTGCTATTACGCCTGCCAAAAAGGCAATGGCCAAAATTACTCCAATAATGATAATGATCATCTTTTTGTTACCTGAAAAAAAAAATCAAATCAAATAGGAAAGTCATATTGTCATAATCTTCGCTTCGGACAACCCATTTTAATTTGATAACAGAAGGTTTTTTGTTATCATCAAGATTTTTCCAACACTCCTATTTTCGAGAAATTCCTGTTCTGTCTACGTTGATCTCTACAAGCATAATCTCTTAATCCCTTAAATAGGTTATTCCTTCAAGGCCTTCTTCGGACATCCTTCCAGTAATTGACGAAGATATTTTGCATAAATATTTCGATGAGTTATCAAACAGTAAAGGTGATTTAGCGTCGAAAGGGTTAAATTTTTAAAATCTGCAAGAATTTTACTTAATACAGGAAAGAAAAGTTAACCTGATCGTGTTATAGGTAGTTGTCAGTAGTTATCGTAGAAAGTCGTATCTTTTATGTATTGTTTGTGGAAACATGAATAAATCAAAAGGCAAAAAGTATGAAACATGAAATTTTAAAACGTAGGAAGTGGAGTTAAACACTAAAAAGATAATCATATTTTTACGTGAAAACTATCCCTTTAAAATAAAGTTTATGGCTGGTAGAACAATATTTGCAATGAATATATAAAACATATCTATTTGCCAAAATTGTAAATGGAGGCTGTATACTCAAGAAAAACAATTTGTGTCCTAATTTTAACTAATTCGCACTACTATTAGGTCTGTTGTAAAGTCTGCTGATCCCTTCAAGAAATTTAACAGTACGTTGTCATTAAGTACGTATTAAGAATTATGTGCCTCTGCAGAAAAAAATTTTCCATTTTCCAGTCAGAAAGTAGGCATGTGAAAGCTTAGATTCATTTCTACAGCTTTGGGGTCTCAAAGTTGAAGTATGCAATCTTTTAAAAGCAAACCTGGTGTTAATATTGTTGTTGTTGCTGGTGCTTTTGTTGTTGTTATTGCTATCGTTGATCCTAAAGAGGATCAAAAATTTGTTAATAAATATTTTTTTAGAATTACAAAGTTATAGCAGGTACAACATGACCCACAACAACAATACGATTACTATTACTACCACTACTACTAATACTACTACTACTACTTCTACTACTAGGACTAATAATGAAAATAATAATAATAATAATAACAATAATAATAATAATTCAAGATTATTCACAAAATACAATTGATAAAATGAATATACGAGATTTCATAAAAATTCAAAATCACGTATAATACAAAAGCATTTAGCTTGAAAATTGCCCTAAAAAAAAAAAAAAAAAGTTTAGAGGCCCGGGGTGGCGATGTTTATTTTGCAGTGTTCTATCTTGCTGTGAAAAGGCGTTCGTGAACCTCTCACGCATGTGTGTACCGATCTTAGAAGTTCGAAAGAGATTTGTGTCCTGAGCCATGCGATAACGGTGTTATACGGCTCGGTGTCCTTCTGAACTATCTTATCTGCAAGATGCTTCAGGAAACGCTGACACTCGTTTCCCATTCCGCCATTGGTTCCAAACACTAAAGGTGTGAATGAACCCATCTCTACATCTAGCACCTGCTGCTGGTACTTGCATTTCTTCTCGTCCTCTTGCTCCTTGAATACTTCAGATGTTGTCTTGTTCTGGTAACACTTGGAGTTAACGTGCGTAACTCTTACATCAAAAAATGCCGTAATTCCTCTTGACCAGAAACCTCCCGCCTTGATGTCTAATCTAGCCTCAGAGCTTGTGACGGCACTTCTCAAATGTAGCCGTTCGTTGTCGAGGGTTTGAAAATCGGGCGCGCAGTCCAAATTTCTTCTAACTCGACTTTGTGTGATACTTCTTTCATGTAAATTTTCAATGAGTAATAGAATGATTTCTCATGCAATTTGGTGTAAATAAGCGCTTTTAAGTTTTTCAAAGGCTACAAACTGCGTTCGCTAAAAGGGCTCATGCAAAATTGTTGTCTTGAAAAAATTAATTCTACTCATGCTTATTACCTATACACACACTGATATTATAACGAAGACTCACCTTTCTTACAGTTTTTTTCATCTGAAACAAAACAATCTGAAAAAAAAAGAATGGAAAAATGCTGAAGAAAAAAAACAGGCTGCTTAACAGTAAATTGCAATCTAATTGCGAAGTGAATAATCTAACCGAAAATTAGCTCAGTGAAACAGGATGTGGAATAAGTTATTAGAAAAGAAACGTTTTCTGGATCTTCTTAATGAAAGATTCATTTTTGGCTAAAAAGGCTCGAATCAACACAAATGTAAACTCCTGCTGCTTATTTCGATGCTTGCAGAGGAAAAAAAACAAATTATTTTGGTTCCGCGTTCTGTTCTCCGCAAGCCATTTTTGAAAGGCTAAGAGACTCTAGCTCTTTCAGAAATGTTTTCCGAAGAAAAAACTTGGAAGTCCAGATGATCTTGCAAAAAAGTCTCAAAAGAGAAAATCATGGCACGCCGATCGATTTCATTTATTGCCTTTGGCTTGACGGCATTCGATGTTATTTGACGAAGCCGTGATTGGAATAAAGAATGATAGGCTTCGATTTCGAATGTAATATTCATAACCATGTTGGATCATGTGAGGGTTATTCTCTACACAGCATGGCGGGCTGTCAATATCTGGAAAGCTGGTAATATCTGTTCAGAATTTCTCTTTCTTGATACTTGAGTATCTATACGATATTTAATAACCATAACCCTCTTGATAATAGTTAACACGTCTCATTAGCTTACAGGGGATCGAAAACTTGTATCCAGTCGGGAATGGCAGAAGAGTAACCTAATGAAAAAGAAAATGTAAATACAAATTGAATGTTAATGACGAAAGAGGTATCTGCTTTACCTTTCAGCAGGCACGCCTAAAGCGCAAAGGCCTTCCAGCTAAGATGTAAGATAACAAACAGCCTAGTTCAGTTCCTCTTTCCACACTTCTTGTGACGCTATCACGCGATAAAAATTTCGATCTTATGATTCAACTGTTAGTTGATATGCACGACACAAATTACTTACAAGAGCAGTCACGTCCCATCCACTTTGCAATTTCAATGGTATTTTATAGCTCGTAAAATTCTGAAACAGACACAGTAAAATTATGCTAACTGGGCATGTATCTCAGTTTTTTCGCTTAACTAAAGTCTATATCCGCCAAGTACGCTTTCAGAAATCGTTTAGCAATAGCCTAAGACCACACGAAGTGTAATCCATTGAAGTGCAGCGGTGTGCCATCATCTTAGTACAAAGGTGTACTGCAATGGGTGGTATGCGGGGTGTGGCGTCAGTGACTGCTACAAAACGAAAGAGCAATGAAAGGTACGATCTTCCAGTAAAGGTGACACTGCTCACAGGATCCGACCTTACGAGAAACTCAGCTCATCAGAGTATGGTTTGTTAACAGGTTAATAGTTATAGGCCTGGGCTGCGGTAATGTAAATGGCCGTGCAGTAAGGGATCATTCGTAAAGTAGTCTGTCACAGATATGCGTGAAGGTTCTGTACATTGTTGTTCGCACCGCGCGCATTTCTTTAGGGGCATTACTGGGCAGTTTCGGAAAGGTAATTTTACATTTTTCTTTATATCCTCTGGTAAACGGTGCCTCGATTGCGTTTTTTTTCCCGCCTATGGTTAAGGCGGGAATTCTTTGTTCACAAAATAACAGACATTTTTATCAGATCTCAAACCTCAACAAGCCAAGATATGTTCAATTAGAGAAAATAGAACTTTAAATAGTAAAATGTGATTCTGCAATTCCAGGAACTTTAATACCTGACAAGTTGAATAATTAAAAAAACAAAAACAAAACGTAGATAAGTGTTGTAGGGGGGGTTCTGGACCTCTCGAGCCCTCCTCCCTGATCCCCCACTGAAATTGTCAAAGTTCTTTATCAAATCAGAAACATTTGCCAGCAAGTCTTAAGAACGATCTCATTGAGAAGACATAAGTGATAGTTTTAGTAAGTCTATGTCATCTGTTGTGAAAAAAAAAGCATATGAAAGTTGTGGGAGGCAGTCTCAGTGCAATTAAGTGGTAGACTTCTTGTGAACAGACACACCACGAAGCAAAAATGAGTAAACTCGTCAATTAATGAAAAACATGCTCCGAAGGGGAAATTTTCCTCACCTTGCCAAAGTCCCTGCATTTGATGACAGTATCGTTTATGACATAGATTACTCTATATCCAGTCCAGTTTAACGCTTCATCTGGTAAAAAGTCAAAGAACCTTAATTCAGCTGGTTGTGCTAATTCTACATTGCAGCCTAGAAAGTGTCCTGGGCCTTCGAAAAGTTTGCTTTAGAGGAGGAAATTTTAAAATTAAGACCTCTGAGACAGATTCGAATTTTCATCTTTTCGAAGCATAAAATTAGAGCAAATTTAGCATTTCTTATGGTTACTTACCTGTTTGTAACAGGTAAGTAATTGAATTAATTTTTTCGTTTTATTTACTATCACCTCTTCGCCCTGGTAAGATTAACTGACATGCTCTCAACCGATGGGAGTGCCAAAAAACTATACGTTCAATTTACGAGACTTTTTTAAGCCGACACCCTATTAAAAAGCGGACACCTGGAATAAATTATCTTGGGGTCTTCTTTTAAGAGTTTCACTACGTGTAACATTTGACTAGAAATTTCGACAAAAAGAAATTTTTTTTCTGAGAATTGCGTCCAAATGGTATAGCTTTTAAATTTAGGATATATTCTCCGGAAAATACAGTCAAACTTGTATTATAAGCGTTTACCCATGGGGAATGGCGTGCGGACCGCTTAATACAGGCTGACCGCAGTGATGATTAAAACTGGTGTGATCACCTAGCTTACCTTTGAAAGGTTTCCATGACACCTCCCCTTCATATCCTCCAGAGCTTTTCCAATTTTTTAAAGTCAAGCTGATAGACTCGGGAGAATAAACGGTACCATTTTTTCCCGTCGGCTCAATAAAGCAATTATCCGCACCTGAAGAAAAGGAAAGGAAAAAAGGTACACAATACTGCCATGCTGTAATAGAATGTCAGTTACGGTTTACCGGTCTTACGCCCGATACAAACTCTCAAACTTGTTTACTGCTCTTTAATAGGCTGTTGTCACGCGAGCAAGCACCTCATTTTGAAATTTGGGTGCAGAATTATGTTTCCTACGCTACATCCAATCTGATCACATTGTCAACGGTCCGTGACCTGAGTTAGTATGAAGCTTGCGATCCCTATTGCCGTGAGAGGAAAGTGAGTCTCAAATGTGAATCTAGAAAATGTCTGTTTACCTCTTCCTTTAACCCCTTCGCATTTTAAAATCAGAATACATGTTCTCCATACTGTTCTTTATACATTTCTTAAGGTGCTGACAAGGAGAATTTGTTTACCGATCAAAAGCTTCTTTCGTTGGTGATCATTTCCTTTATTCTCATGACCTTAATGCGTGAATCAGGGGTGATATTCTAGGGAGAAATTGCATGCTAATCACTACTAAGGGTTACTAGAGTGAAACGGAATATCAAACATTTTTATGAAACTGGCCTCCCGTACTATCAGACCATTTTGCATCAATACCTGTTCAATTTGTAGTCGTAATTTGTAGTCGTAATTTGGTCGTAGTGAGAAATAAGCAAAATAATACAAAGACTGAGCACTCTCAAAGAGAATCCTTTAATTCAAAGAGCAATCCTTTAATCTAAGCCAGAACGATTTTCACCAACTAAACATTCTTTTATTACCTCGTATTTCTCTCTTCGTTCGCTGATCAAGGGATTGTTTCTGCTTATTCAAACGTGAACGAAGGCAACCTAAAATAAAATTGCTGGAGAGAGGTTAATTAGGCGATAGAATAATGCTTCATTAGGTGAAGAGTTACTAGTCGACCTTACTCCTTCAAGAAGAGTAGCAAACGCAGTCGAAACTTCGTCAGTCGCATCGGAAATGGAAACACTGCATGAACTGGTGTGTCCACAGCTGTGAATGATCACCACCTCTTTTACGGAAAAGGGGAATGTTTCACTTAATTATTACTTAAACCTAACCGATCTTTAATGAATAGACTGGTTGAAAGAATCTCTATTTGCATTTCAGATAAAATAGTACCTTTCAAAAGATTTTACTTACGTTTCCTTACAAAACTTAGGCACTCTTCATAAGAAGACTGACGACGTTCACGTAACTGCAAGAGAAAATAAGAAGGTATCAGTTGAATAACTTCCAACCAATGTAACCAAATCACGGAGTAGAAAATGGTCATGAATAGAATATGTTCCCATCTAAAATAAGGCTTCTCCAATGAGTAGATAATGAAGGCACTGTATGTAAATATATTTCATGACCAACACCATTGCACACAGAATCATTTATTCGTTTTTTATGTACGAATAAAAAAATGAGGCTGACCAAAAAATTATCAAACCTCAGTTAGCTGTTTAGTTCAGCCTAACGTCTTGTTGTTAGAGACAATTAACAAGCCTCAAATTTAAACAAGCTTTCATTTTGAAAATTTGGTGGAAATTGTTGAGTATGGAGTTTGAAGTTTAGAAAAAGTAGAGTAAAACGCTTTCCAAGCTATTTTGTGTTTCCAAAATTATTAACGCGGAAAAGAACTAAAATGTCGAATTACCTCACACACAAGTATTTTGTGGTAGATTATGTGTTGTGCGAATAAATGTAACCAAAAATAAACTATATTGGTGCCACGGATACCTGTTAGTACAAAATGCAGGCAGCAGACTGCAGACCGGATACAAAATATAGACTGCAGACTGCAGAGTGGGTACAAAATGCAGACTGAGAATCTGAAGAGTTTTTATGTCTGGTAGATAATAACATGTCATCTTACAGCTTACCGAGCGTCACGCAATCGCTTTCCCGCGATCAGCTATCACGATTATTTGCACTATTGTGGAAAATTCCTGACCCATTTCTCGATGAAAATCGATCGAAATATAATTTAAAGCCTTCAATATAGTCTTCTTACTTTGCGCGCGAGTTGGTTGGTGTGATGTCTGTACAGATTTTACCAACGTAATAAAAGTAGATGACGTGAATAACAGTGATGGTAAAGCAAGCTTAAAACGGCAGAAATCGCCAGAAACTACAACGGATACACGGGGTATGAGTAAGTTTTATTGATTTTACGAGAAAAATCTTCATATTTCGAAATATTTATCGTTGTAAATCGACCATATTTCGTTCCCTATATTATTCCTTATAACATTTTAAATTTTCAACGGTTCCTCTCGTAACTTAACACCTAGTCATTCAACGCGTGACGCGTTCATGAATTAATCGTTGTCTTTTTCTCGAGACAAGACAAGACAATTGCGACATTTTACAGTTTCCTCACAGTATTTTGAATCTTGTCCGGAAGAAGAGGGTGTCTACAAACCGAAGACCGAAGACCGAAGACCGAAGACCGAAGACCGAAGACCCTAATTTTTTGCCCGTCAATTGGCGTCTGACAAAGCGTTTTAGTGAGGGTCTTCGTTTTATAGATTCAAGGGGCTTTTTCTACAAAACGAAGACCCCATTGATTTCGCGTCAATTGGCGTCTGACAAAGCGTTTTAGTGAGGGTCTTCGTTTTATAGATTCAGCGGGTCTTTTCTAAAAAATTAGGGTCTTCGTTTTTCGGTCTTCGGTCTTCGGTCTTCGGTCTTTGATCTTCGGTCTTCGGTCTTTGGTCTTCGGTCTTCGGTCTTTGTTTTGTAGACACCCGGAAGAATCCGAAGAAAATTCTTTTTCAGTGTCACGCTTGGATCTCTTCGTACTCAGTGAACAGAGTCGGCGAAAAGGACACCGTTAAATTTTTTTTCACTTTCTAGGAGCGCTTGAGGATTCTAAATGAAGGTGAAATATTTCCCATCGAAATAAGTATTTTTCAAAGAGAAATATGGAAAAATATCAGACTGCTGGACGTTTAGTTATTCGAATACCGTGTCCAGTGAAAATTTTCCTAGTGTCGCGCTTGGATCTCTCCGCACTCTGTGTACAAGGTCAGCGAAACGGACAACGTTGGAATTTTTTCACTTTCTAGAAGTGCTTGAGGATTGTAAATGAAGGTAGATAGTCGACCGATAATCGGCCGATATATCGACCGACTGTCGGCCGATGCATCAGCCGATATGTGCACATTTATCGGTCCACTGTCGGCCGATCTATCGGTCGACTATAAACCGATAGTCGCTCGACTGTCGACCGATAGTTAACCTATAGTCGGTCGATAGTCGACAGATATATCGGCCGATATTTCGACCGAGGCCACCTATAGTACACATGATCCGTTTAGTCACTTCATTCCAGGAACGTCAGCGACACTGACAGTTTGCGTTACAATTTTTACTTGCTGCTTTGCATGGACAACAACCTCGACTACTCTTTCGAGCGCAAGCTCCTCTCCATGGACAGGAAACTTCGACTAACCCTCGGTCCTATTGAACAAGGATGGCAAATTTGATGAAAACGTGGTGGATCAACATTTTCACCTTCTTCGAAATACTTGCCAGGATTTTCGTGTTCCTCTTTAGGAACAACCGATCCAAAGTGTTTACTGCCTCGGAATCTACAAAATCAATGGATTCATCTGATTCCATGCCGGATTAAAACGTATAGAACTGTTTTAAGCAGAATTATTTTGACAAGCTCTTTATTATCATCGGAGAAAACGCAGAAGGTATTTTGAGACAACGTGACAAGGTAAAAATAACTGACCAATCAGAGGCGCTATTTACTGGGATACCTGTGGTAGCCCAGTCGTAAAATGCCTTTGTTTTTTTGTCGTCTTTTTTTTTTACTGGGATACCTGTGGTAGCCTACTCATACAATGCCTTTGTTTTTTTGTCGTCTTTTTTTTTTTTTTCTCCGCCACAAAATGGAAAAATTGCGCAATAGTACCCAGTGGTCATTGGGCCCTCAACACCTTGACAACTAACTGTGATCCAATGAGGGCGAAGGTGTTCACATGCTGATCACGTGTTATCTTGATGATGATTGACGTTGTCATGCACGGACAGTTCCGGGTCACATGACGAGCACGAGATTTTTGCTTAGAAACTCTTTGATCGGTCGTTTTGTATTTCAACGTGTTTGGATTACGATCACCTGAAGCATTATAGCGCAAACGCTCGAAATACTTACAGACGCATAAACAAGTCGTATTGTTCGCGGCCAATCCACACTAAAAGATGTTATTGAGCGGTAATTTTGGACCGAATTGATTCGCGAACTGTGTATCCTTTGTAGTTTCTCGTGATTTCTGCCGTTTTAAGCTTGCTCTACCATCGCTGTTATTCACATCATCTACTTTTATTACGTTGGTAAAATCTGTACAGACATCACACCAACCAACTCGCGCACAAAGTAAGAAGAGTATATTGAAGGCTTGAAATTATATTACGATCGATTTTCATCAAGAAATGGGCCAGGAATTTTCCACAATAGTGCAAATAATCGTGAAGGCTGATCGAGGAAAAGCGATTGCGTGACGCTCGGTAAGCTATAAGATGACATGTTATTATTTACCAGACGTAAAAACTCTTCAGATTCTCAGTCTGCATTTTGTACCCACTCTGCAGTCTCCAGTCTATATTTTGTATTCGGTCTGCTGTCTGCATTTTGTACTAACAGGTATCTGTGGCACCAATACAGTTTATTTTTGGTTGCATTTATTCGCACAACACACATAATCTACCACAAAATACCTGTGTGTGAGGTAATTCGACATTTTCGTTCTTTTCCACGTTAATACTCTTCTTTCCTTTTGTAAGAATGTAGACCACAAGTAATCCACCCACTCTACAAAAAATAACTCTGGCATGCATAGCATGCCTATGTTTTGAAATAGGTGTATGCCCTTAGCCAGACTTGAGCTCACTATTTCAGTATACTAATCCGACACCCGTAGTATCACTACACTTGATTCCAAGGATCCAGTACCATCCAGGTATCCCAGTTACCCTGCTCACAGGGTCTAGTTTTTTTTTTACTGGGATACCTGTGGTAGCCCAGTCATAAAATGCCTTTGTTTTTTTGTCGTCTTTTTTTTGTTTTTTTTGTTTTTTTGTTTTTTACCTCCGCCACAAAATGGAAAAATTGCGCAATAGTACCCAGAGGTCATTGGGCCCTCAACACCATGACAACTCACTGTGATCCAATGAGGTGTTCACATGCTGATCACGCGTGCTATCTTGATGATGATTGACGTTGTCATGCACGGACAGGGCCGGGTCACATGACGAACAGAAGATTTTTGCCCATAAAACTATTTTGTCAGTCGTTTTGTATTTCAACGTAATTGGATTACGATCATCTGGAGCATTATGGGGCAAACGCTCAAAATACTTATAGACGCATACACAAAACGTATTGTTCGCGGCCAATCCACACAAAAAGATGTTATTGAGCGGTAATTTTGGATCGGACAGAATCGCGAACGCTTGAAAGCCATGAAAGCATTGAATGCCTTGTATGTCTTGTATGCCAAGTATGGCAATGTCTTAGTTGAAAACGTAAACTCGTTGTAAAAAGAAAAATCTGAAATCTGAAATCAAACTGCATATACTCTATGCAATCTATTGAACAACACTACTACCGTGAGACTGAAGAACAAAATTCAAAAGGATGCAAACTGCTAGTGAAGAAAGACGCCATGTCGGATTCACATGATGCCAGGGAACGTAGATACGATAACAGTGCGAATGGTATTAATTTCACGATCAGAAAGGTGAATCTTATGTTTGTTTTCATTGTAGTTGTATGGATATTCTTTTTTAATAAATACATGATCCAAAATCCCGTGTTTTTTGTGTATAATGTTATTATGTCAAGTATTGTTTACGCAATTGTCTTGTCACAGGCGACCCAAGGTCACGTTTCGAGAAAGAGCCAACGAGTAATTCACGAACGCGTCACGCGTTGTGTGACTCAGAGTAAGTTATTCTAGGAACCGTTGAAAATTTGAACACGTTATAAGGAATAGTATAGGGAACGAAATATGGTCGATTTACAACGATAAATATTTCGAAATATGAAGATTTTTTCTCGAAAAATCAACAAAACTTACTCATACCCTGTGTATCCGTAGTAGTTTCTGACGATTGTTGCCGTTTTAAGCTTGCTTTATCATCACTATTATTCACGTCATCTACTTTTATTACATTGGTAAAATCTGTACAGACATCACACCAACCAACTCGCGCGCAAAGTAAGAAGACTATGTTGAAGGCTTGAAATTATATTACGATCGATTTTCATCAAGAAATGGGCCAGGAATTTTCCACAATAGTGCAAATAATCGTGAAGGCTGATCGCGGAAAAGCGATTGCGTGACGCTCGGTAAGCTGTAAGATGACATGTTATTATATACCAGAAGCTATTTAAACAAAAGACTTGGTTATTCAAAAGTCCGAAAATCACTAACGACCTCGTTCCAGCATCAAGGGTTGGAAAAACAAAACAAAACGACCGGGCATCAAGGTTGGAAATGGGCCTTTAAGGTATTTTAATCCTAACATTCTTTCTCTCACGTGAGTGATAATTTTAGAAATGAAACCGTCGTATATCAAAATTCTTCGAGGTCCAGTGGACAGGAAGTTTTAAAAAGATGTTCTAGAAACTAGATAGTTTACGTGCAAAAGGCACAACGCTATCACAGAAGCCATCGGCATGGCCAAGGTATTTGTCGGTAAGATTGATTAATCGAGTGTGTTATTTTCGTCAGTCATCTTATCATTACATAGCGCAGCCTCATAGCGCAAAAACCGAAAACTAACCTCAATAAACACATCGTAACTTAAAAAGAAAGTCCTGAGAGCTAGCCATCAAACCCTAATGTGAAATTCCTACTGAAAAATTTGAAAGTAGTATTTGAATTTTCCGCATTTCGCAGATTGTTTTACTACCTTGCATGTTTTCTTGTTTTTAGTGTTATAGGTACTTTTGTTTTCGATTTCTCCATTCGGTTTTGTAGGTAATTAGAGTAACTAGCAATGATTTTGGATGAAGACGACTTCGGAATTGCAGATTATGAAATTACGTCCCTCGCGGTTAATCGTGGTGATTAAGTTCTAGACTTATAAACATTCCTTGCCTTTTAGTTTGTCTTTGAACTAAAATAAACATTGCATTAAATCAGTGTAAGAACTGCTTAATCACCCTTCATTTGATGTTGATTCCGCGTCATCTGCTTGAAGCCTGAGGCCACATCTCCTCCAGCAGAGTTTCATCTGTCCAGCTAACTTCGAGTCATCATGAATTCCAGAAGGGCTTGGACACAGTACGCACAGAATTGCAACATTGCTCCAAATGAACACGATTGCAATCACACCGTTGAAGACAGACTTATACATTGTTGATAGTCGAGATTCTAGCGTGCTCAACTATTCCCACAGACTTATAGCAGTTGTGGAATGACGTTTGCATTGTGGCGTGGTTGTCATTTATATCTCACATGACAACTATTGATTGTTATAATCACGTTTCTATGGTCACTCTATGATTGGCTGAAACAACGTGCTTTGTCAGAGTACATATGCATGAACGGTGTCACGCCATGGTCCAATTTGTGCAATACGCGACCATTTCTCGAACTTTCCTCTCGTTTTTGTTTCCTTCTTTTTCACCCACAAGTATTGCATGACTTTTAGAACGAACATTGAAACGAGTTATTGGCTCTAATTGATACAGAACAATGTGTAGGTAACAACAGCACACATATGAAAATATTTCGAAATTTAATTTATTGATTACATTTGATTTGATTTGACATTTGATGATTAACCGCGTGATTGACATATCAATGGCGTAATCGCTACGTAAGTTGATATTCAGTTTTAAGAATGAATAGATCCCGAAAACAAAGACCCCAACACGAAGTCCCCGAAAACTAAGACTTGAAGACGAAGACCCCTTATTTTCTTTACTGATATTGATAAAAGATTCCATCAAACAGATCTGTCAATTGCTCCCCCTGTCTTGCGAATTAACTGCATGTAGGAACCGTGTAATTTGGAATTCCGTAATTCCTTCAAACTGCAGAAATTTCCCACACTGCAAAAGCCCCCACGTGCTTTCTGCCCGGAAGGTCTAGAAGCTTCGGCAAATGGACTGGTACAGACACTGCGCGAGCAGTTTTGCCAAAACCACATCGACACTCTTAATGTCGTGCTAGGCCGCCTTGAATGAATGAAGAGTAATGCCGTGACACCGGCTGGCGTTTTCACAACGGCAAGCCGACCTTTTCTTTGAACAAAAACGGCAGGGAAATTTTGAAGGACACTAGTTTTTTTCGAAAATAAATTAAGAAAGCAACAAAAAGGAAAAGAGAGAAAATAAAGCGAACTCCGCTATAAAATTTAATAAAAATCGGCAAGTTATCAAAATCGTTTAGAATGTTCGACTTCCTGCGTAAGGATAAGGTTTCTCAATTTAGACCTGGAGGGTTCATCGATGCTTTCTCCGCATTCTCATTGATATGATTTATCGGCATTCTCATTGATATGCTTAACCGCATCCTCATTGATGTCACGTTGGTATCAAGTTCGATTGACACGAACGTAATATCAAATATAAGAATGTGGATAAAGCACAGACAAACCTTCTAGATCTAAACAAAGAAAGCTTATGAATGCGCAGGAAGTCGAATATTTTTAACAACTCTGATAATATTTATTTAATGAACCGATGATCCGCTAAATGTTTTAAAGGGCATGTAAACCCAAAAAATGTCTTTCTTATATTATGTAAAAAGTGGCGTAGAAAACGAATTTGAAATTAGTTTTGTCCAATTCGACTTATTTTTGGAGAAAATCGGCATTTTCAACTGAAATTCCATTTCCGGTAAAAACAATAGCGAGAAGTCGTGACGTAAGCGGTGGAACCAAAATATTGCGCAACACATATTCCCTAGTAGAACTGGTGTGGGAGTTCGTGTAAATAGCGGTAGTTCGGAAGATGTTTTTTCAGAAGATAGCGACTCGAATGCCTTAAGCTTAGTACATGACAGCGCTGGGGATAATCCAGAATCTTCAGGAGAGTCTGGGCCACGTCCTTAACAATATGAGCCGCGTAGGGTTCACCGAAGCGATCCGCACGAAGACAGTACAGAACATGTCGACAGCGATGCGACCGTCTCGGAAACTCAGACTGGTATTTTATTTACTTTGTGATTTATTTGTATTTAACATGAAAACGCAATAAAGCGAGGGTACAATCTAAAGGAATGCAACATAATTTTTTTTAACTTGAGCTTCTGAAAGTGTTTTATTTAAAATTATCAAAGGCGCGAGTGTGGAACTTGTCAACCAATGCCGACAACTCATGAAAGTGTTTGTTGTACGGAAATCGGGCAATTGTGGCAAAATGGCCTGAAACCCAGATAAGTTGTATCACTGAGCATCAAGGTTTTCAGTCAATTTGCCTCGATTTCTGGGTGCTGGAGACGGCCAAGTACGCGTACAGACAGCAGCAAAGCACAGATAATCACACCGGAAACGACTAAGCAAAATATTTTCTGTTTCATCTTTTTTTTTTACATTTTGAGATCGATTTACTTGAGTTATTTCTGCCATTGATTTAATAATACAGTACTAGAACTAGTTGTTTTTCGCTTCTTTCCTGGCAGGAAATTTCGCTAAATTGCCTACAGATAGCTTGTTCGTTGGTGTCGGGGATATCTCGGCAAACACTTTAGGGTCGCTGTGCTATCTTGTGCGGTAAACAATATCCTTCATCTCAGAAGCATTTCCACCGATAAACAAGTTGTCTCATGTACATTTCCTTGTGTGACCTTCATAATTATCCAACCCTGTTTGTGTTTGCATCGATTTGAAATATTGAAAAGATAGTTTTGCAAGCTGAAATCAGGATCTTTTAAGTTGTACTCAAAATAATGAATATTGTCCTACTGACCTTTGAATGTATTTTCACTGCTGTGAAAACCGTGACACAAATTCTTCTGCTGTTTCTCTGCATGGTTTCTCAAAGAAAGCACCAAGCGGGGCTGGCTTGGATTTTCTTATAGAACATAAGGGTTGATTATGGGATCCTGTATAGAATTCTTTGTATCGAACCGACAAAATTCCAGATCACGTTATTACACACTGATATCAACGAATTCTCATTCTTTGATACGTGTTTCGAATTCAGGCAAAGGTTCAGACATGTCAGTGTCTTTTACGGGCTCAGCGCTTCTCCCGAACAACTGTCTTCCCATAATATTTCATTAGATGAGAAAAAAGATGTTTTTAGAGAACCAATAAAGCTATTGTTGTTTAATTAACGAAACGTTTTCATGTCGATTTTGTACTTTCTCTGTTGACCTCTAACTTTTGAAGAGCTCAACTTCTTTCTCACGGTCGGCTTCGTCGTCTGCCGACTGTATGGGTCGTTTTTTACTTCAAATAATTTTTCTTCTGGTGAGGCCTGAATCGTCGGTAAAAAAAAGAAAAAAAAGACTTTCGACGAAATCGGCTATTCAAACAAATTTCACAAATTGTCGCTTCAAATTTGCGTCATTTGGAAATATTGTTGCCCAGTTTTGTTTGAATCATTAAAAACTGGACGAAAACGTTTTTATGTAAATATTGATTTTAAGTAAAAAAATCATGACGAGACCAGCAAACAACGGCTTCTCTTCGTGCCTCACGCGATTATAAAACTAGACTTTGAGGGTCCACCCGTGACGTCACAGGAAAGATGGCGCCATTCAACTTGTTTCGAATTTGGAAGTTTTAAAAATGAAAATGGAAGAATAAACGTTTTTGGTGTTTGATATATTTACTAAACATCTATGTGAAAAAGAAAATGAACGTTTTTTGGGTTTACATGCCCTTTAAGGCTTTGATCGAATCACACCCTATATAATTTAAATTTGCCTATACCTCGCGCCATGGCCTCTTGAAAAACAATAAAAGGCTTTTTCAAATATCATAAATTAAATTTTTCTGTCCTTTAGATCTTTGTGTTTCTCCACCAAAACAATCGAGAAATATTACCCGAACCAGGAATCAACTCAATAGATGGTAACTGAGCTCCTTGAAGACACAGTCAGTAAAAAGAATTTTACCGCAGACGCGACGCGAGACAGCTCGATGAATTTATTTTCTTAAAATAATTTAATGTGATTCATCCTCAACCTTCTCAATCACAAATTGAAAGTTTTGTCTATTAGGATATCACTTGACTACAGGCTCAATTCTGGTATAATTAACACGATTTATAATCATACAAATGCTCGATGCCGTCTAACTAAATTACGAACTTAAATGATAATCTAAGCGACAAGAATGAAATAACTGAACGGTTATGATCGCACAAATGCACGACTGAGAACAAGTAAAACTGACGAAAATTGAAATGGAGACTAAATATAGCTACAAAGGAGGAAAAACAACAATCTTAATGATTGTCCTTTTTATACGGCTGAATGAAATAAACGCACTGGAAAATTAAAACGCATTGCAACTCCGCAAAGACTTAATGACTCTCTTTCGCAATGCAAAACAGAGGCAACGCACGAGGTTCTGAAAGGTGATCTGATGATAACGTCACTATCCCAGACGACAGTCACAATCACGTCAATCATCGGTAGGATCATTTTCATTTGATTATTTAAGTGCCACTCTCGCTAAGAGCGGTCCTCTCGACTTCCCGTCGGAAAAAAGTTTTCTTTTATTTTTTGCCCATGAAAAGGGTTTAGGACACATGTTTCAAAAATAGTTTAGTTGTTCCCCAATTCTCTTTTTTTGCGTCGCCATAAGCTAAAAATGATTTTTGGCCAGACCACCCCTGAGGACAGCGATCGAAAGTGTAAATTTCAAAGGTTTTGTCCAGCGCGCAGCGACTGCAACAATGTAGCTCACAGAATTCTATCTTGCTACAAGTTACAAGATGTATTCAGTTTGTTCACAGACAAAGTATGGAAACTTCAGCTGAATTATTTTTCATACCAGCGTGATCAGAGGAGACCCTTCTCTTCGACCTTAATTTGCATATCAAAAATTCACTACTTTGTACGAAAGAATTCTCAAAATGTAGGCCTTAATCGGGGTTAAAAAGCATATCAGTGCATAGTTTATACACCAATGAGGTCACGGATTGCCTCAAACCCGCGGGTATATCTCTAGCTTCCATTCACCAACTTCTTAAAAACAGCGCAAATTCATGTGTTTGCTCAATTGCGCTCGTGTCAAAGATCATTTGCATGATTCTTAAAATTGACCAAGATCTCCTTTTGACCGTTCAAACTTCGTTCGTTAATCTTCTACGTCGAGGATTTTAGGTTTTCACAGCAACTGAATGGAGATTAGATGCTGAGTTGTCCTAAAACGTTGCATAAACGTGATCGGTCGTAACGCTTGTGCGCTTGCGTGACTCACAAAGTAGACAAAGGTGATCGGAAGGC